ATTATTTTTTTTTTATTTTTTTTATTTTTTTTTTTTTTAGAAAAATCTCAAACCTGTGTGCAGATTTGTCTGGAGACCATTCAAAATGTTTTTGAAAGAAGTCTCTTATGCTCACCAGGGCTGCATTTATTTGATAAAAAATACAATAATATTGTGAAATATTATTACTGTTTCAAATAAGTGTTTTCTATTTGAATATATTTTAAAATGTAATTTATTCCTGTGATGCAAAGCTGAATTTTCAGCATCTTTACTCCAGTCTTCAATCACATGATTCTTCAGAAATAATTCTAATATGCTGATTTAATGCTCAAGAAACTTTTTTTATTATTTCAATGTTGTTTGAATTAAATTTTTATTTGAAACACCATAAATGCCTTTACTTTCTCTTTTGATCAATTTTAATGCATCCTTGCTGAATAAAAGTATTAATTTCTTTCTGTAGTTATGCACACTCATTTTTGTGTGAGCATGACTGTCCCATCTGGCACGTGAGTCCCAGTGTAAGGAACGTGGCCGTCTCACCTCGAATCCTCCAGCTGGCCGACCCCAAAACTAACCACCCCAACTTCACCAGCAACAGACAGGTCCGAACTTACAGGAGCAACATCGCTTTTAAACCAAGAACTGGTTCTGGTGCTTAATTCATAGTGACGACGAGTTTTACATATCCAAGCACCATTCACATTGGCTTTGTGTGGTTGTGTGCAGAATGTGCAGACATTCATCTCATATGCAGCTCAAACAGCCAAGATGACGTCCAGACTCGAGCAGCTCTCACTGCCCAAACTAAGAGAGAACAGACACTTCTACAACCCCGGACGACCAGAGAGTCCAATCCGAACTGTAAGAGACAGATGGGCTTTTTCACACTGAGCTTAACATCAGTAGGTAATCGACATTCCAATCCCCACTTTTAACCTGGGGTAAAGGAACATTTCACATTTACAGTATAATTTAGAGGTGAGTTTAGCACCGCTTTTAACCCAGGATTACGAAAGCAGGATTAGCACCGCATTAACCCTGCATTACGGTACCAAACTGTACAGTGTGAAACGATGCGGCGTTAGAATGTTACGGCTAGATGCTTAGCAACCGACAAGTGCATCTTATTAACGTGCTTTGGACAGTCAAGGAAAGTCGTGCATTGTATAAACAGTGGTTTCAGCTTTTGAGGGGAAAAATGTCAAATGGTGATGGAAAATGCGTCATGTGGAGTAAAGAAGAGACAGTTTTATTCTTACCTTTATAGTCCAAAAAGTCCATTCAGGAAAAACGTAATAGCAGTCGGCAATTTATAATACGAGAATGCACAATACACAGGTCACATGCTGCGTTCGTCCAATCAATAACACTGACACCACAAATATGCAGATAAGAATGTTAACCCCAAGATAACTCATGATTCATTTTATCCAGGTTTTAGAATGACCCAGGGTTAACTAGTTCAACTGAGTGTGAAAAGCCCTAGTGTATACAGTAAACTATGCAGATTGACCAACCAGAATCAAGTATTTCAGGCCCTGTTTACACCTGGTATTAAGAAGCGTTTCTGTTGATCTGATCACAAGTGGTCAATGCTGAATACAGGTGTAAACGGGGTCCGAAATATTTTGAGCTTGTCCACTTTTTGACCAGTTCTAGAGGTAGTCAAAAAACACATTCAACCGGATGGTTTACGTATAGATGCTCATGTGGTCGAATGTGTTTGAACAGCCACCACATATCGCCTTCTCTCTGCCTACTGATTTAAATATTAAACATTAAATTCAACAGTAAACAGTAAATTTGGTTTGAAGAAAAATGTAAAAAGCACAATGTTCTCTTACCATTCCTGATTCTAACGCAAACCCACAGTGTTCGGCATAGTTTTGCAGGTATCAGAGCAGAAATGAGAGATGCTGTTTTCTGTTGTCTCCTTTTGCGTTTATAAGTATATTGTGCAAACCCATTTCACAATATTAGATCGAAAAATCAGAAAAGGCCCATATATACACCAGCACATAGACCTTCCCCTCAAAGAAATCTGGAAAGTGGACAAAGATTAAAATATTAAAACACCAGGTGTAAAGGGGAATGTGTCTCCATCGTGTACTTGTGATCCAATCGACCAAAACGCATTTGAATAGCAGGTGTAAACAGGGCCTCAGAGAGCCTTGGAATAAAATGGTAAAAAAAAAAAAAAAACTGTTGGTCACCCTTTCAGTTGTTTTTGTTGGTAGTACGACATGAAATCTGTCTGGACTCCCAAGTGTGGATTAATTCAGCCGTCTTTGGCTTCTCTTACAGGTGTCTAGGGGAGCAAGAAACGCCACGGCGAGTGCTCGGATCCAAGCTTTATCCACTCCTAAAGCCCTCTCTAAAGATTACATCCCACCCAGAGAACCAACATGGCAGCCCTGAGAAAACAAGACAGACCACAAAGCTGTGGTTTCCAGCACATTCATCATGTGCAGTTATTGTATTTTGTCACTTTCTCACCGCCTTCCTTCTCCTATCAGGAGCTTGTTGATCGGTTGAACTCTCATTGCTTTCGCTCTGGTGTTCTAATCACGGTCTCAGATTTTGACTGTGGACTACTTTTGACTGAAATTTAAGTAGCACATTATTCTTAGCCTGCTGCCAAACCCGCCTGGCTCCTCAAACAGGACTCTGTGTTTTGTGCCTATAGTGTTTCCAGATTGTCTCTCGGTCTAGACGCTGCTTTCAGTCAGAAAGCGCTGCAAGGGAATCTATGATTATCAACATCTGGTTTGAGCATCGGTGTAAGTTTTCTTGCCTGGACTTTCACTCTACACATTCAATTAGATTCAAGGTATTTCAGTAGTTACATTGTATATTGTATTTACTGTTTAAAAACAATAAACAACCCATTTTAAAAAAGTAAATCCTCATATTCAAATATTTTAATTCACCAGGGATGCTTTGTTGTGATTCTTTAATTGAGTAATTGAAAATTAGTTGTCAGTAACTCAAAAACTGTCACATTTTTGCATGTGTTTGGACCCTGTACACTTGCTCATGTCACTACAGGAGCCAGTTGGACCTCAGATCAGATCATCTTTTCCTGCTGTACTCTCGAAGTCTTTCCTATTCCCATGATCCTCCACTAACTCTCTCTCTCTGACCGATGGGTGACAGATTCCACTTGTGTCTGTCGAGTTGTCGTGGTAACACACAAAGCCACGGCTCTCTGTCAGCCGTTCAGATTCAGTAAACAGATCTAGTTCCTCTCACTGTATGTTTAAAAACAATAAACAACCCATTTAAAAAAAGTAAATCCTCATATTCAAATATTTTAATTCACCAGGGATGCTTTGTTGTGATTCTTTAATTGAGTAATTGAAAATGAGTTGTCAGTAACTCAAAAACTGTCACATTTTTGCATGTGTTTGGACCCTGTACACTTGCTCATGTCACTACAGGAGCCAGTTGGACCTCAGATCAGATCATCTTTTCCTGCTGTACTCTCGAAGTCTTTCCTATTCCCATGATCCTCCACTAACTCTCTCTCTCTGACCGATGGGTGACAGATTCCACTTGTGTCTGTCGAGTTGTCGTGGTAACACACAAAGCCACGGCTCTCTGTCAGCCGTTCAGATTCAGTAAACAGATCTAGTTCCTCTCACTGTATTAACTCATCAAACTCAACATCATGCAGAACCTCAGCAGTCGGATTTAGAGGTGAAAGATTCATGTGTAAATAACATCAGAGATCAAATGGAGGAGGTATTCCAACATATATAGTCATGTTTAAAGCAATAAAACTAAATATTCTGGTTCTGCTGTGTTGATTGCAACCCAAGTTTAAAAAAAAAAAGGTGTTGCAGAGATTAATTACCAACAAGGGAGCCCAAATAGATCCTCAAACCAAGACCAAAAACAACAAGCCTGTGGATTATTGTGATGTTTTTATCAGCTGTTTGGACTCATTCTGACGGCACCCATTCACTGCAGAGGATCCACTGGTGAATAAGTGCTAAATTTCTTCAAATCTGTTCCCATGAAGAAACAAACTCATCTACTGTAGGCCTACATCCTGGATGACCTGAGGGAGGATGTGGAAGGAAAACTATGTATTACCATGAAATAAGAAGATAATGTAGGCCTAGATGAAGAGAGTCAAGAGAAATAATACCGCCAATAGTTCATCAGTCACTGCTGTGATTTTGCCACCTCAGAGACACTAATAATCTCTCTCTCTCTCTCTCTTCATATAGATTTTTTTTTAACCAAAATTTCTTAAGTTACAATGCTTGACAGTTTCATATTTTTGATCAGGTTCTAACTGTATTATTTTAATATCTTCCAGGATATGCCAGGAAGCTTGCTGTAGTGTTTGTGTTCAGCTCAGCATCTGCGCTGCAGTCAAATGAACATGTTTGTTTTTCCATTGAGGGTGTGGGATGTTTTTCACGCCCCACTGCTCAAACACACACACACTCATTTACCACTGCAGTCAGCTGCGCTCTGCCAACCATTTAAAAGTTGCCTCGTCTGTCCATCCTTTGCTTACTGGATGTGTTTAAAGATTTAAATATTTGATGAAACACTGCCATCAGCGTTTTGAGTCCGTCTGATGCTTCTCACTCCTTTCACGTGGACTCTGTTGTTTAGTCAACTCTTTCACCATCCTTGTCATCAGGATTTCATTTTAAAACCTCTTTTTTTTCCTCTTGACATGTTTTAGTTGGTGTCCAGGTTTTCAGATGTGTTCCGAGCAAGCTCACAGAAAACTGTTTTGCTCAGATGTTGCTCTTTCATAGATTATGAAACTTAACTCCGACATGGTTCTCCAATAATTTCTATGAAGAAATAAATATAGAAACAAATACAGTATACAGTAAGATTAAATTCAATAAATGTAACCTTTATATACTGAGATCTTTGACTTTTGAATGCAGATTTTAATATTTATTATGTGAGCAGACATTGAGACATTATTGAGATTTCTTTTGGACTTCTAGTAGAGACAAATGTGAGATTACTGTGGTCTATTTTTGTAGGAGAAAAACTGAGAAGCAGAAGACATGTCAATTTGTTCTCAATTTAATCTCAGTGTCTAGCACAAACAATTGAGATGATAAAGATAAATTTTTTTTGTTTTAGGTTTATAAATAAAGATATAGATAAAGTGTATGTTTCTCAGCTCCATGATGATCCTCCTAATGATAAAGCTCTATACTAATCATTCAACACATGAAATCAAACCCTGACATACAGATGCTTACATTTAGTTTATTTACGAACATTTAATAGTTATGGCAATAAAATATATGACATACATACACTTTGCTTTGAGCAAAAGATTACAACTTAGATCAAATTAAAAATAAAATAAGACTCATATCGGTCTTCAAACTTCAGAAAACATCCTCAAATAAGAAAAGAGACAGTGAGATGAGTCTACTGAACAATCACGGGAGCAGAGACAGAAGAAGAACAACATGAGGATCTTCCATCAGTCCTTCACTGATCCCAGTTCAGCAGGGAGACCTTCTGCTTTCCTCCACTGAGCATTTCGCATCCTGAACCATTTCTACAGGAGAGAGAGAGAGAGATTAGGCTGATTGTAAATCAGGAGATATCACATAATTGTAGTTTTTATATCTTCTGAAGAAAATTGGACTGGTGCTTGCAATAAGTTTTCAATTTGTATGTTTACATGTACCATTTTTTGTCAATAGGAATAAATTCAAACCGATTTTGGCTTCTGAAAGCTCTGTTTATATGGATGCAAGGCATTCTATTGTCAGATTCAAGTGTTTACATGCTTATTGTTTTCCTATTGATCTGATTGTTTCAGGTCCGCAGGTCTAAATTTATTTCAGATCAAGCTCAATCGGATCAATTGAGGTGTTAACATGAAGGCTTTTCAATCTGATTAAGCCATCAGTCTATACATGGAGTATTTGAATGCCTTATTTGAATCAGTTTCAACACAAGTAAAGAACTGAGTAAATATTTCACTTTTACGCACTAATCTTAAGACTTATCCCAAATTAGCTGATTTTCTTTGAAACAGACAGTTGCACAACAGCTCTGAGGTACAATAATCTTTAACACTAGCATTGCAACACACTTGCAAAACTGTCAATGTTTTACATAACAAACCATGAGGGTATATAAAAAGCTCTGTATAAAATCCCCTTCTTTGGTAGGGTGACTATACGTCCTCTTTTCCCCGATTTCTAAACTCCCTAAAATGTCCGGGTTTTGGCTTCGTTTTCCTATTGTTTTCATACCTGTTAAAGGTAATGACTGAAAAGTAGTTTGACCAATAGCATGCAGGCATTGTACATAATTGACCAATCATGGCATAATGTATGAGGACTGTAGAGAGACCATCAACAGGAAAACAAAGCCAAAACCCAGATATTTTAGGCAATTTAGAGGCGTAATCACCCTACTTTTGGTAATATTTTATTTGTTCACCTAAACCTAACAGGCCACTATTTTTTTATCAGAAGAACAGCAAACACTGTGTGAATTGCATTTCTGTGTTTGTGCGAACAGCAGTGGCGCTCATCTTCACCTCACAGGTTTTAGTGCAGCATGTGTAGTGTTTGGCTCAGAGTCAAATGCTACACATGCTGCACTAAAACCTGTGAGGCTGCAGTCCACCCATCTACCCATCACTAACAGTACATACACACAGAGTCTGTGTTTACTAGCCAACACGGCGAGCAGGCATGACCGGTTTACAGAGAGAGAAAGAGAGTTGTACACCTGTTCCTCATACCGCACCCTCTGTGTTTGAGTTTTCTTAGCATTAAAATAATGCAAAGTGGTGATATCATTTCCCACAGAGCCAGGACAGAGTTTGTTATTCAAACCAATTTTCCCTGGGCCACATTTGCCTAATAAAGCCATGGACTTTACTCTGTGCTTAGCTTTCATAGTGACAATTTTGCACATTTCTCCCATTCTTAATGGTCTTCACACAGGATCATATGTTAGGGTTATTGTGGGTCTTAAAAATAATTAATTCGCCCTTCCACAAATTAAGGCCTTGAAAACGTGAGAGCAGAAATCAGAATCATGTTGCATGCAGTGCTTTAAAAATATTATCTTCCTCTGTATGTTTGTCTTGTTTTCCAAATCATATATCTAAACATCCTTAAATCAAGATGCATTTAATAAAGATGCAAAATGACAATAAGAAGTCCCTGTCTGTTTTCTGAAACAATTATTAAAATTAAGTTAGGTTATGTTTAAAACAAGAACCAATATCTGCCAATGGTGTATGAAAACTTGTTTTCACTTTGAATTAAGTTAATTTTTCTAAGCCTATTGGCAGACATTTGTTCTTGTTTTAATCATAAACTCACTTCATTTTGATCAATTTCACAGAAAACAAGACTTGTTAGTCATTTTGCTTCTCAAATAAATGTTTCTTGATTTTTGAAAAAAAAACACTTTTTTTGCAGTGTGATCAGAAGGTGGTTGTATTCAAGCCATAAGCTATTTCTTTGTGTTACTTAATCTTTTTGTGGAAACCATTATAGGTTTTTTTCAAGGACTATTAGAGGAAGTTTAAAAGAACAGAATTTACTTGAAATAGAAATTATATAAATTATATTATTATGTAATTATAAATTATAAATGTCTTTACTGTCACTTTTAATCAATTTAATGCATCCTTTCTGAATAAAAGCATTACTTTCTTTCCAAAACCCCCCAAATCTTTAACTTTGTACGGTATATTAACTATGACTTGGGCAGGAGTGAATACATTTAAGTACACTATATACATTCACACACCCCTAAAATTATCAATTGCTAAGCCTGTTCTATTGTGCAGGGTGATTTATCACAAAGGCGTTCACATTTTGTATAAATGCACTTGGTTTT